AGCATAAACAGTGGGCTGCTTTGGTTCACTCTGTATTCCAGCTATAACCCACAAAGCACTGTATGTCACTAAAATATGAGCAGTCTACATCTTTAAAAATGTAACATTTCTAGCTTGCCATTATGCACCCACATGACTAGAGTTCCTTTTGTCAAAGAAGTCTGGGAATCACCAGATTAAACTCGTCACAGAGAGCTTAAGGTCAATCAAAATCAGGCACTCTTTGAATAAAAATATCCACTATATGGGGTTCCTTCTAGTATCAAAACATTTCCAGTCTACTGGTGTTAAAATGCACCACTGTAAGTCCAGTTCTCCTCATTCGTATTGGTGATCTATGAGCCAATCTGTGGAATGATTCAGTTAATCCAAGTTATCTACCAACTATTTCAAATCGCAGCATAATCAGAAACTCTCGTGCAGGCACAAACAGATCAAGCATCCACAGGAAACACTGAAATTGAGAAAACTCAAGATTACTTTCAAACCCACAAAGGAAAGCCTAGACAGGAAGTAGGGAAAATTAGGGACTTTTCCTATGCTTACAGTTGTACTTACACCGGATAAAAGTTTTTCAAGTAGAAGGGTAAAATTTACATGGATGGTTCCTTTTCAGATATTTCTACAAGGAAAAGGATCAGTAAGAACAATGTGAGATCAAGTTCTCCCTGGTCTTACCAAGCTGTGATCCTTTCTACCCTTCTTCCTTCTACTTAGCAATGATGTAGATTTCTCCAAAAAATAAGTGACAAGGATGAGATGAGTTCACCTTTATGGCTGTGCAGTATCCAGTAGAAAAGAAATAGCTGGGCTCCATCGAGGCTGGAGCATGACTGGACACATTCCACAGCAATCCCAGTGCCTTATTTAGGCAATCAGAAAGGAGTGACCAAGAGGTAAAGGATCAAGGAAAGCTACATGCCTGAATAAAATCAAATGGCGAATTTCTAGGCTAAAAACAAGATGTGCATCTGTGAAAGGATTGTAAGCATATGACCCATTCACAACTCAGACAGCTTGACTATGTATCCCTCTTCGTAAGGTCTTTTCCATCACCACCTGTTAAACTGCATTTAACAGACTATCCATCTGTCTGATCTCATCTCATCGACTTAAGTCATGTAGGCATCTGTATCTAAGCTAGTCATATTACACTTGACCAGTCTAAAGTATCTACTTATAGATATGATGAATTATGTGCTGAAGGTACCTGCTTCTTTCTGTTGACTCTAAGAGGATTACTAGAATGACTAATTCAGCGGAGGATTCCCATCAGTTATGTGTTCTCTTTTAAACTACCTTTTCAGGAATAGACTAGAGGTATACAACATAGTGCAATCATAGCGCAAATTAAAATAAATCCAATGTGCACTCTTAACTTCTCAAAAGGACTGAGAAATTACACCATCTACTTATTGCATGCATTCTTTCCTAAAATCTCAGGTGGTTATGGGAAACAAAAGAATAATATCAAAGTAATCTTATCTGGGGGTGTAGAACTAGCTCTGTAAGACAGTTGATAACTTCAGTGAAAGTTTCTTTCTATATGTTCACATTTGTTCAAGAAAAAGGGAAGAGGAAGAAAAAAGAAAAGTGAAAAAGGAAGAGGACAGGAGAGGAGAGGAGAGGAGAGGAGAGGAGAGGAGAGGAGAGGAGAGGAGAGGAGAAAAAAGTAAAGAAAAGAAAAAGAAGCAGGCAAGCTGGAAAACTTACCTCGTCTGTGTTTAGAGATCTAATTTTTTGTGTAAGGGCTGTGCCCTCAACTTCCTTATCTCCTCAACTTCTGCCTTTCCCGGTATGAATGTGATAGAGCACAGAGTCTTTAAAAACATAGAATGGCTTCTGGAAAGCTTCCAAAACTTGCTTAGGAGGTGGCTTTTAGTGTATAATCCAATCCCATCTAATTTATTACTTGCTTTCGTGTGTCACAAGCGTATCTTGATGTTTCCTGCCCATGTGAGAAGTGGTTTAATAGGTTGTTTGGATTACGTGACCCTGGTGTACTGAATGATGCTTTCATATTCCAGCAGCAGAAAAAAGGGCTGAGAAGAAAACCATTTAAACATCAGTCTTTAACCTTCTCCCAGGAAATCTTCCACCTGAAGGTCTCTTGGGGCCAGAGGAGGGAGGCGTGGAGGCTTAGTGAAGGGAAGGCGTGAAAGAAAGTGGCAAAGGAGGAGAATGAATCCTGTCTTGACTGTAAAGTTTAAATAAATGTATTTTAAAGAAATAGCTGTCAGTCAATGTTTTTATAATGATATCACAAAGGCATTCCAGGGTTTCTCCATAAGAAATAACAGTCAAAGGAGTAGCTAAATATTACACTGGACAAGCATATGCAGGGAACTATCCAGTTAACGCTTTCCAGAGTCCTTCATTGAACCAAGCTGACAGCTTTATGCATTTCCCATGTGTAAAGAGCCATTAGGTCCACTGCTTTGGCTTCCTATCATTATGAGTGCTAAAATAGTCCATGTGTAATCTAGGCGTTTTCTCTCTCTTTTTAAACTCTGTGTATTCCAAAAAACATGTGAAATAGAAATCTTCATGAAAGAAAAAAAAGAAAGAAACTTCAAGCTGTAAGAAAAGAGTCACCATCCTCCGGGGATGGTAAAGAATTACTATCGTAGTAGTCTTTTAAGGGCAGGTTGGGCTCATTTCTCTTAGGGATGGTTACAATTAAGTTTTTATAGAGACAGAAGATGTTCTGGGTGACCTCTTGATGACCCTTCAAGTCCTATCTCACAAGAAATTTCATCACTGGAAATCCTCTTTGCAAGAATTTGCATGTTTCAACAGAGGTCAATGAATTACAAAGTCAAAAAAAATCCTTCATTTATAAATCAGGAAACTGAGGGAGGAAGTCAGCTATTTAATGCCTATGGAAATCAGTGAACTTAACTCTGACCTAGTCACTCTAGGCTTTCCTGGGGAAAAAAAAAATGTCTCTGGAGGCAGATTCATCTGATCTACCTCAGAACTGATTTTAGGATGCGATTAGGTCTGAAATAGACATCTAGCTTTTAAACAAAATAACTTAGAGCAGGCAAATCTCACTGTAATGATGGGCCCCATCTTTTTTAACTTGAGCAGCTGCAGTCAAAGGTGATCTATGAAATGAAGCCCAATGAAGCAAATGGACATGCTGATTTATATCAGCATATCATCTCGACCAAGGCCCAAGTTGAATTCATCATTGCTCTGAACTCTACTGTGTATTTTTCACTTATGCCTCATGGATGCCAGTAAAGAAATTGTCTCAGCTACTGCCCTTTACTTTGTTTTGTTGAAATTTTTTTCAATATAAAATGGCCTGATAACAACAGAGTAAATATCTCCACCTCCACTGCACAGAATGCCAGCAATCTACACAGTGAAAACAGAAATTGCAAAATTAATGAGAATAAATGCTGGTAAAGAAACGTCTTGGTGAAAATAGTCCCCTAACTTAAATATCCTTTTACTGTAGCCTGAAGTCTTGGCCAGGTTAACGAGCACTATAGGACACTATAGAAAAAACGAGAATTGAGTAAGAAGGTAGAAAAAGTCTTACAATCTTTGGGAAAGGAAGAGGAACAACAGACAACAGAAGCCAAAGATCAGTCCAAAAGTATCTGGCCTGCTAATCTAGTATGAGTTAGGCCTGCTAGTTTCTGTACCCAGTGGCACATATGGCAGGAATTTGGCTATCATCATATTCATGTCCTTTTGTTTCCCTAGGCAAATGGGCTACCAGAGGTGATTTAATGCACAAGCCCAAATGAAGAATTGCTGCTACCTCCTGTTGCAAAATAATTCCCTGCAGGGTCGTGCTTACTGCCAGGGAAGAAGAAAGGTGTTTTCTCCATTTTCATTCCACTTACTTTGGCACCTGGCTCTGGGCACAACTATGGCAGTAGCTCATGCTCAGGGGAGCTGTGATTTGGACAAAGACAGATTGTGCACAGAGAGATGAATGAGGTTTTGCAGCTGGATAGTGAACACCGGCAAGGGATTTTGTTGATAGAGCCATGGGGTGGTGAATAAGTGTTATGAATTCAATGATGGGCAGGATAGGGACAGAGCATGGTGTATGGGGAAGTTGTGAAACTTGAAATGGATGCTACATGGCTGGGGGTTGTCTTCATGTAGTTTATGAAATTGGAAGTGCCTGAGGTGTGGTGAGGGATTGTGCTGAAAGACAATATGAAGTGGCATGTAATTCTATGGGGAGTTAAGTTCTGTTGAAAGACCTTGTGACATTAGAAGCAGGCACTGTGTATTGAAGGGTAACACTAGGAGAGGTTGCAAAATTGTGGCTGCTGAGGTATCATAAGGCTGGCTACAGAGTTCTAGTGGACCCTACTGTAGGATAGATTGTGTGAAGTAGTAGGGGACAACGTATGGTGACAACTTGTGTTGGGAGTCGCTTTGAGGTCAGAAGAGGACACTCTGTAGTGATGAGCGTGCTAAGGGAGGTTCTGCAGTGACAGTGGACCCTTAGGGAGTGAGAAGTTGTATTGAGGGAGATTGTGAAATCAGCAGCAGGCATTATGGAAGAAGACTGACAATTTCTCAATCTATGTGACCCTGAGTAGCAGTAGGGCATCTTCTGCAAGGTCTGTGAAACTAGAACAGCTCATGGATGCGGCTGGGAAGCAAAGCATCAGTGCAAGAGACAAGGTATAACTTTAGACGGACAGTTCTTGTGTTCTTTATATCATGAGACTGGCTGAAGGGAGAACTAGTGAAAAAGCATTTCCTAAGCCATGACAGTGACAGGTTGGGAGGGAGGAAGGGTTGTACAGGGAGGGAAGGGGGAAGTGGTTGAAATCTAAGTGACCACATGCAGCAAACTAGATATTTCCCCCAGAGAGTGATTGGCTGGTTCTCAAGACGTCACTTGAAGCAACCATGGCTTTTTTTTAACAGTGTCTAAATAGCCCAGCATCAGGATTTTATCTTACAGTACAAGTTTTTTTTCTGGACTATCAGTCGCAGAATTCAGGCGATGATTTTCATCAGCAGATCCACACCAGGCGGTTGCTGCAAATAGTCACTGAAATTCCAAGGAGCCCCCAAGAAGGTGAGAAATTCCTGGATGGGTGCAATGGTCTTTACAATTTCACTCTGTCTATTGCTTTCCACCATGATTTTGGAGAGATGGTGAGGGGAAGGGAGGAGAAAAAAGAGCTGGGGGAAAGACAATCAAACATTTTCCTCTCCTGCTGGTTAGAAATTGGCTATAGGTACACAGTTGTCTTGATCATCTTCAAGATAAGGAGATCTTCATTCCAGGGACCTTTTTCCAAGAACAAATGCAATTGCATTGCCCTCAGCGCACATCCATAATACAAGGTGGCATTTTTCAGACATCTAGTATTAGCAGTTTTGGACTTAGATGATCAGTTAAGGTTAGCTGAGAAAACACAACAGCAAAACTTTGTGTCTGGACAATAAGATGTCTTTGTGGTGACAAGTTTGTTCAGACTGACAGCTGCCACAAGAACTATACTGTACTCAGCATGTAAACCACAAGAAGAATGCTTAATCTCAAGGGAAAGAAGACTAGCTAGATTCAGTCTGCTGCTATTTGATGCAGGCTTTCATTAATTAGTTTCATTGAGGAAGTAGACTCAGGTTTTGAATATGCTTTGGAGACAAGAGATCAGTCTTATCAAAGATGTCTTATAACAGACATATGAGAACTGTGGGTGACTCTTTTCAGTATGCTTTTGCATGGTCTATGGAAGTCATAGGATGGTTACTTCACTTTCATTATATGGAATACAAAGTTTTTGATGATTTGGCATATATCCACAGGGCGTCCATTACAACCAGTATGACAGTACATGACAGTACATTTTCAATGGCCCAGGGTCATGTCATTTAACATTATAAAATCTGATTGAAATGCCTAAGTTAGAAACCTAATCACCTGACATTCACTGAATGTCCAATAGAGAGAGAGGCACCTCCAGAGGATGACCCACATTTCAGGTGGAGTGAATTGCCTTGTGAAGATGATGGTAGCAGGGAGGTAAAGCAACTACTTTCTTAATGTGAGCAGCTGGTCAGAAGGTTGGAGTGGGCAAAGGCAGAGGTAGGCACCTCTCAAATATTTGTGTACTCTTTAAATCTGTTGGCAAATTGCCTCAGGTCACACAGATAGACTGTGGTAGAAGAGTGTGCTGCAATTGGATTCTCCAAAGAGCAGGTAACCACTCCTCACAGTAGACTTGGTTCACAGAACTAGCAGCTGCTTCAGGTACTTTCTACTATGGATTAAGGCCTGATAATTGCTCATTGCGGGAAATCAGCTGCTACCCTCAAACCAGATGGAGAGGAAGTGAACACAGTCATAAGGCCATATATTTCCAATGGGCTTGCTACAGATGTTCAGGGAGGAGGTAGCTTTTTCAGTGTTATTGGGCAACCAGTAAGCTACTCTACTAAGATAAAGAAGCAGAAGGTGAATTTGGACTCAGATGTTACATGCAGGACTTACTTTGTGAAACAAACTGTGCTACAACAGATATTCTGTGCTTTCTGAAAAAGACGATTTTTTTTTTTTATTTTCCTTACTCCATTTCAGAAGCACGTACTTCAATTCTTTCTTGGATCTAACTAACAGGCTCTAAATGCTTGATGTTAGAAACACTTGAGGCCCCATAATGGCGGAGGATGGAGTCTTCTAGCTCCCTGCAAAAGAGTATGCTGTAGTGCCAGAATTTCCCTGGGTTCAGTCAACCCTAAGCCTCAAGAAATAACTTCAGAAAGAGACACCTACATTGTAGTCTTGCTTTTCCTCCATGCCACATAGAATTTGGCCTCAGAAGCGGTGTTTTGAATGACAGAAAAAGCTCTGTGCTCCAAGTCTAAACGCAGCAATCCTTCCCTGAATCTACCTTGTGGCTATAAAGAGCTGGACGATCACCAGACAATCATGAGGGAAAGTCACACAAGAGCTACCACCTCTCTTCTGTCTGCTTACAGGTCTGCGCGAAATCAGAGATAGTGACAGATCAGTACTTTCCAGTGAAACCCGCATTATGAGTACTAAAATCGCATCAACCTTCCTTCCAAACACAACCAGCCAGGCTCATGGGGCTAATTACAGTGGGACAGGGCAAAAGGCAGAGCCATCATATGCCGTCCTCAAGTTCATGGAGAGCTTCTGCCTCATCAGCTCTGCCTGTGGGATGGTGGGAAATGGCATGGTCCTGTGGTACCTCGGCTTCCGCATCCGAAGGAACCGCTTCACCGTCTACATCCTGAACCTGGCCGCCGCTGACTTTGGGTACCTGCTCTGCATTGCCATCGAAACGGTTCAGTACCTGATGCAGTTCAACGTGGGGGTGCAGTTTGGGATATTCCTCTTCCTGGATCTTTTCATGTATGGGACCGGCTTGTATCTCCTGACGGCCATCAGCATTGAGAGGTGCCTGTCTGTCCTCTGTCCCATCTGGTGCCGAAGCCATCGCCCAAAGCACTTGTCCGGCGTCATCTCCGGCCTGCTCTGGAGCCTCTCCCTGCTGCTGAACACCTTGGGCTACCTTTCTTGCACTGTTCGCCCCTCGGGCAGCTGCCACGTACTCCTCATCACCATCGGAGTCCTGGACTTCCTCTTCTGCACGCCCCTCATGCTGGTGTTCAGCCTCACCCTCTTCCTCAAAGTCAAGTGCAGCTCCCAGCACCTCCGAACAGGCAGGCTCTTCACCGTGATTATGCTCACCGTCCTCTTCTTCCTCATTTTTGCTGTTCCTCTGAGCATCCTGATCCTCTTTGACTTCTGGGGCTATAAGTTTCTCTACTCCCCAGAGATTGGCTTTGTGCTGTCCTGCGTCAATAGCAGCCTCAATCCAGTTATTTACTTCATTGTGGGCAGCTACAGGGATCGGCGGATTCGGCTCACTCTCAAGCTGGCCTTCCAGAGGGCCTTTGAAGATTCAGCAGATGACAAAGATGAACGGGAAACCCATGAAACAATAACTATGTCCTCTTGAATTCATCCCTTCTTTTGCCTGAACACCTTCTACATTGAAGAGAAAAGGAAAGAGAGGAAGACCATGAGGATTCCTTCAAACCGTTGGACTCTAGATATCAGGAGGAAAAGAACTGAATATAAGGTTTTAATTCAGGATTACCCCAAGTCGTGTTGCTAGTCCCCTATATTAGGCCATGTTCCAATGCCCTTTCTTCATTTAAACTCCTGCACAATATGGCATGAGAAGCAGCTGCATAGCTTTCTAACTCTGCTTACTGTCACTGTCCTTGGTTGCTAAATTTATTAAATCCCATTTTAAAATGTATCAGCCTGGTCTTTGATTCTTGTTTTCAGCCTTTATGCTAACTGAGAGCAAAAATCTCAGCTCCTTCTCCATCGACTTTCTTGCTCCTGAAGCCATTGCATAGATCATGGATTGTCAAAAGTGTCCAGTCAAAAACAATTTTGAAAACAATTATTTTTGTCAATAAAACACAAAAGGGGTCTCTCGCCACCCCTCAATTTATTTAAAAAAAAAATTAGTTTTTCCAAAAGAAACAGGAAAGAAAGAATGAACACGATGTACTGAAGGAAGGGAGAACTATATGGGGATATATATTTTCCTCTGCTTCAGTGCTTTTCCCCAGGTGTGTACCTGGATGCTATCCCTGTGGGCTAACCACAAGGAAAAGGCCAAACTCAATCCAGCCACAAACTGAAAGCTTTACC